AAGGACATTTATAGGATGGCTAGGGCTCGCGATAGGAAGACAAGGGACTTCAATCAAGTCAAGCGCATAAATGATGAGAGGGAGCAGCTCTTGATGAAGGAGGATGAGATCAAACATAGATGGCAAGAGTATTTTGATAAATTGTTCAATGGTGAGAACGAGAACACCACCGTTCAGCGGACGACTCGTTTGATGACACAAATAGGCGCTTTGTGCGGAGGATTCAAGAATCGAAGGTCAGAGAAGCCTTGAAAATGATGAAAGGGGGCAAAGCGATGGGCCCTGATAGTATCTCAATCAAGGTGTGGAGATGTCTCGGGGATATAGCTATAGTATGGCTAACCAAGATGTTCAACAATATCTTTCGATCGAACAAGATGCCTGAGGAGTGGAGAAGAAACATATTGGTACCAATCTACAATAGTAAGGGAGATATCTAAAGTTGTACTAATTATCGGGGAATTAAGTTGATGAGCCACACTATGAAGCCATGGGAGAGAGTCATCGAGCAGCGCCTGCGAGGAACGACGTAGATATCAACAAACAAATTTGGTTTCATGCCCGGAAGGTCAACCACAGAAGCAATCTTCTTAATAAGACAAGTTATGGAGCGGTTTAGAGAGCAGAAGAAGGACCTCCACATGGTTTTCATTGACTTGGAGAAGGTTTCTGACAAGATACCAAGAAATGTTATGTGGTGCGCTTTGGACAAACATAAAGTCCCATCAAAGTACGTGACCCTCATCAAGGACATGTACAACAATGTTGTGACTAGTGTTTGAACAAACGATGGTAACACAGATTACTTCCCGATTAAAATTAGGCTTCATCAAGGGTCAACCTTAAGCCCGTATCTCTTTGCCTTGGTAATGGATGAGGTTACCAGAAACATACAAGGGGATATCCCTTGGTGTATGTTGTTCACTGATGATGTAGTGTTACTGTGTTAGTGGACGAAAGCCAGGCAAGAGTAAATAGAAAACTAGAGCTATGGCGGCAGACCATTGAGTCTAAAGGTTTTAGATTGAGCAGAACTAAAACCGAATATATGAGATGCGACTTTGGCGGAGCTGCACAGAAGGAGGGAGATGTGAGTTTGGAAGGTCAAGTAGTGTCTAAGAAGGATACCTTTCGGTATCTGGGATCGATGCTACAGAGGGATGAAGATATTGATGTGGACGTTAGCCATAGAATCAAAGCAGGGTGGATCAAGTGGCGACAAGCTTCTAGCATTCTCTGTGACAAGAGGGCACCACAAAAGCTAAAAGATAATTTTTATAGAACAGTGATTAGACCGGTTATGTTGTATGGAGCATAATGTTGGCCTACAAAGATTCTGACATGTTCAACAACAGAGTGTTGCAGAAATGCGTATGTTGCGATGGATTTGTGGTCACACAAGAATGGACCGAGTTCGGAACGATGATATACGTGATCGCCTAGGGGTAGCACCAATTGAAGAAAAGCTTGTCCAACATCAGTTGAGGTGGTTTGGCCATGTTCAAAGGAGACCTCCAGAGGCACCAGTGCATTGTGGAGTCCTAAGCCGAGCTAATAATATAAGAAGAGGTATAGAAAGACCGAAATTGACATGGGGGAGGCAATAAAAAGAGATTTAAAAGCTTGGGATATACCTAGAGATCTATGTTTGAATATGAGTGCTTGGAAAACAGCTATTAAAGTGCCTGAACCATGACTTGGGGCTCTTGGTGGGTTTCAACTCTAGCCTATTCCAACTTGCTTGGGACTAAAAGGCTATGTTGTTGTTGTTGTTGTTGTTGTTGTTAGTTTACTTAACTAGTTTATGTTGTTACTGTTCTAAATGCTTGGATTAAAGGACACCTCTTTACCTATTGCAGCTTCCTCATCATAATATTACATTCCAAGCATCTTGGCCTGGATTATTTGTTGATAAAAGGGGAGCATATTGGGATGTGCCATTGTCATTATCGGCTGACCTTGCTTCAGTTGGCTCCAGTTCTGGATTGAGTTATCATCTATTATTGCAGCAGAATAGTGGGGAACCAAAATATTTTGGTGGTGATAAAACAGATGATGTTCCTATTGCTCTGCTACCTGGCCTATGTGCTAAAGCGGCTATTTCCATCAAGAAAAGCATTGATGCTTGGAGGAAAAAAGAAGATAAGCTAAAAAACGTTCAGCCATATGATATATTTCTCTCGGATTCACATGTTTCTCTTACTGGTATCGTTGGTAAGTGTCCACCTTCCATTTGATGTTGATACTCCTAATGAGAATTCCTTGCATCCACTTGCTTGGACTTTGGAGGTTCTGTTGCTGCCCCTCAAACTGCTTTAGAAACCTTTTCATTGACACACCATTCATTTCCTGGATATCCAGAATGTAACCTGATCGTAACTTAGTCCTTTTGTTTCCCATTGCTGAGCTCACTGTATAAAAAATCAGATACCTAGCCCTCGCCTATGTGGCTAGGTGGCACCTAGGTACTACTGTACTAGACACCTCACTCAAGCCTAGTGTCTAATTGCTTCCTAGACTGCCTAGGGGTCCAAGTAGCCCGATACTTTGCCACTCAACCAGTGCCTAGCGCCTTTTCAAAATTTTGGTGTGATATTACAAGACTTTGGAAGCCAATAATATCCTTCACTTCATATAGATGCTGGTATACAGTATCATGAACGACTTGATTTCCCTATATGCTTTACTGCCTAGTTTTCCGTTGGTGCTGACATCTAGTGCATCTCTGCATGGCTATGTGAAATGGTTATCAGTTGATAGCACTGTATTGGATTTATAGGTAATCAGCAATGTTTCTCAAGTTTCCTTCCTTTCCTTTGTTCAGGTGCAGTAGCTAGTGGATATTTGGGGGACTGTTCAAGGAGAGTGGCTATACGAGATGAAACACAAAAGAGTAATGCTTTTAGAATGTTCGACGAAAGGAACAGATGTGCTGCCTTTGCGGACCTCTTTGCTTCTGTTACTTTCACTGCTCAATATGGGAATTTTCAGAGGCTTTTTCTGGATTTGACTAGGGCAAGTGCCCGATTTGATATCACCTCTGGCTCCTTGTTCTTATGTGGTGCTTCTCGCCTTGCACAAGATTTCTTCTTCTCTAGAAGACCTGATGTAGAGACATTCTGCGATATTTGTCCTGATGTCACTGTTTCCCTTCAACAACAGGTAATTCATTTTTTTTTTCGTTTCATTGTTCTCTGATACCTGTTAACTAGAAATTCTAACCACTGGTTAGGGTGTTGTCTTCTTTCCTATGGGTACTTTGGTAGCTACTGCTTACATCTCAATCTATTGCACTTGAAAGTTATGAAAAAAAACTGAGGTACTTGGGACTAACCACGATGGTTCAGGAAAGTTTCGTTATATATTAATGATATTAATGACTGCCTTGCAGGAGAGCTTAATCTTATTTGAAGTCTAGGCTATGCTTAGATATGCAAACACCCTGACTCTTTATCTTCTGTGCCGTAATGTAAATTATGGTTTATTAGTTACAGTTTGATGCAAGTACTAGTGCTTGTGACTTCAGCTACTGTTTACACTTGTTGAGGAACAAATTCCATCTACTGAAATGCCAGGGGGTAAACTTGTTACGATGAATACAGCATTGCCAATGATGATGGTAGTAATAGATGGTATCAGTTTAGAACATAGGATTTGTTATCTTTTGGCCATTTCTCTCTGATTGCCTACCATCAATAAATTATAAGAATAGACAAGATGATCATTATGTGTATCATATGGAAGTTTTCTCGTGTTCAATGAAGCTCTTCCTTGTTCTTGCTGCAGATACTTGGGCCCTTCAGTTTTCGTGTTGAATCCTCTGTTGCCATTGACCCCAGAAGCCAGGACCATTTTGTTCGAGTGGATGATCCAATCTTTGCAATTGATTGGGCTCTCAAGGTCCTTGGTTCAGCAAAGGCCACAGCGTGGTATTCACCCAAGCATCAGGAGGCCATTGTTGAGCTCCGGTTCTACGAAGCCTGAAGCTGTTCATCATGAACCTTGTATAAAATAATGCCTGGTTCCTGGACGAACAGTGCCGAACATAGCTGATTTCACTAGGATCAGATCATATGAATGGTTGACGCCGTGATGGTCAGATGAATCGACCCCCTTGTAAAATCTATTTATGACCTGCTTTTACTGGTTGAGTCATCAGTTTTTTATTTGCTGCGAAGGAAGTTATACTGTTTGGAGTCTTTAGAGTAGTGAACTTGCTAGGTGAACCTATGTGAGATTATGTTTCTGATTGCCTTTTGTCGGTGTACAAAAGTCATGTTCCCTCCATTTTTTTAATTTTTAAATATATGAAGTTTAGGATAAGCTAATTAAAGGATTAGCCTTTTTGAGACATCCATTTGTTCATCATTTTGACAAAACTCAGAGTCAGCTGAATCATGCAACACAAATCCTGAAGCGTTAGCATTTGTTTGTGATAGCCCTCATAGGAGCCAGGAGGGATGCTATGCGTCACGAATGCTGAAGCGAATTTGTATATTCTCTTTACTCTAGTGACTTGCCCTCAAAACTTTAAAATCGGTGCAACTCAATTTCTACATGTATGTGTCTGGTTTTTAGCTGAATTTGGGTACTCGCGTCGCGTTGCAGCACTCAAAAACAGAAAACCGTAAAAGCGGAAACCCCAGTAGAGTTCAGGCCCACTCGCAAGTGAGCCCGCGTGCGCGCTTGTTTTGCCCCAATTGGGCCATTCATTCCCCTCGCAGGCTCCCAGCTCAGCAAACCCTACTGCCCAGCAGCACCAACTCATCTCGCCGCGCCGCCACGTAAACCCCGCCAGCACCCATCCCGCCGCCGCGCCTCCCCGCCCTCGCCCAGGCGCAACCATAGCGGCCGCCTCGAGGGGCCTGCGGGAGCCCGCGCCTCCCCTTCCCGCCTTCCCGGCTCTTCTCCGCGGAGGCCTTCGTCTCCCATTCCGACGACGACGACGCTGGGGGCGAGGGCGGCGGCGGGGCCGGATCATCGAGGCGCGGGCCGGGGTGATGGGCCCCACCTCGCGGCGCACCGGCGTGATCGGCATCAAGTGCGGGATGTCGGCGATGTGGGACAAGTGGGGCGCCAAGGTGCCCATCACCGTCCTCTGGGTCGACGATAACGTTGTTACCCAGGTCAAGACCGCCGAGAAGGAGGGATTCTTCGCCCTACAGGCGCTACACGAAATTCCCCCGAGTTCTCTCTGTGAAACTTGTTCCACTGAAATAAATGAAGTATTGAACGGCTGCTGGTTCGATTCACTCGCTAGACTTGAAAGCAATGATGTCGCTTAAACCTGGATGATAATGGCTGAGATGTTGTAAATTATTTTTTTAGATCAGTAATATCTTGTTGATTCAGTATATCTCAACATTTCCTACTTTAAAGCGGTAGGTTAGTTAATTTTTAATGGAAAATGGCAAACTATCCCACATTCACTTGTATTTTGATTTCCACCCCGTAAGGTATTTCGTTGCAAAAGCCATCCCACAGAGCATAGGCTCAGCAGATTCCGCCTGACTTTGCCCATGTGGAGCCACTATAGTCCATGCTAACTGAGTAAAGCTTGTTCTGGTGCTTGGATCATGTTGTGGTGAAGAATTTCGCAAATAGCATAAACCGATGGATTTAATGAAATGCAGGGCTTGTATTTTTAGTGTATCTAACTTTTGTAAAGAATGCATCAGGCACTCTAGGATAGCAAAAGCGGGGGAAATCAGCTTGTTGCATGTTGGTGGGATGGTTTCTGCTACAAAACCGAGTTGGGTAGTGGTGGGTCTTTGCGACAAAACGTTTTATGTGTTGGTATTCCAAACGAAAGAGAGACGTGGGGTTGTTTTCTAATTTTCCATGTTTCTAAACTCATGCGGCAATGTTCTGGTTATGGCTCTTCCTGCAGTGCCTGCAGAAAGAACTATAAAAAAAATTAAGGAAGATAAATGGGTACAAGGTGTTAGACTAGGCACTGTGCGGTTGCATGTGTGTGTTGCGTGTGTGGCTGCATGTGTGCAAGGACGTATATATATGTACCCAATCAATCCAAGAAGATTGTGTGTATTCCTATATTCCACTCTTCATGGTATCAAAGGAGGTTACGATCCCGTAATCAACGCTTCCGCCTAACCCTACTCAACCGCCGCCGTTCCCCACGAACGGTGCGCTGCCGCCGTCACTGGGCAGTTCGCTCGCCGGCCTCCTCTTCCCGCACGAGCGCCATCGCGCCGTGCCTGCCTCTCCCGCGCGTGACACGGTCGACGCCTGCGATCCCGACGCGCGACGCGCGTGCTCTGCCGCGCGTGATTTGCCGCCGGCCCACGATCCTGACTCGTCCGTCCCCGACGCGCGTCTCTCGCCGATGGCGAATCCGAGCGAAGCGCCAGAGCCATGGAAGCGCGAGAGAGCGCGAAAGCGAGGCCGAGGCTGCCGCCTCCGCCGGATCGCCGCCGACCGCACCAAGGCTCTCGGCGAGTACGAGGCCAAGCACGCTTAACGTCCACTCCGCCGCCATCGCCGTCCACGAACATCAAGGTGTTTCGTCCGGTGGTCCTCATTGCGCCGCGAACAACTACAACCGCTGGCGCTCCCTCTTCCTCGTCGTGCTCGGCAAGTACACCCTCACTGATCACGTCCTCACCGACGTGGTCAACGCCGATCGGCCGGCGTGGGTGCAGATGGACTGCACCGTCCTCACGTGGATCTACGGGACGATCAACGCCGACCTTCAGCAATCCACCATGCTTAAGAACCCCAACGCTCGCATCGCCTGGCTCCATCTCGAGGACGAGTTCCTCGGCCAGCGTGAATCGCGCGCGCTGCTGCTGTCCGCCGAGTTCCGCACGGTGAAGCAAGGGTCGTCATCCATCACCGACTTCTGCCGCAAGCTCGAGACGATGGCTGCCACCCTCAACGACTTCGACGATCCCGTTGGCGACCGCACCCTCGTCCTCACGCTCCTCCGTGGACTCGGCCGACAAGTTCCGCCCCATGGTCACCAACATCAAAGGCTGCGGTACCGTTCCCCCCCCTTTGCCGAGGCGCGCATGTCTGCTCCCGCCGAGGAGATCGACATCAACGACGCCGCCGATGACACCCCGTCCCCACCACCTCCAGCCCGCCGCCCCTCTTCATCGACTCGCCGGTAGTAGCTCACCACCCTCCCGATCGCGCACTGGTGACGCTCAAGGGGGCAACAGGCGGTGGTCACGGGCGGCCAAAGAGGCGGCTACTGGCGGGCGGTCGTGGCAACCCATAACGGGCGCCGGCGTGGTCGTGGCGGCAACAAGCAAGCAAGAGGGCACCAACGCTGGGCAACCCGGTGCTCCTCGTCCGCCGCCCATGATCTACAACCCGTGGGCGGCACGCTGCAGATTTTGGCCGCACCGACCACCCACGGGCCCTGCGCGCCAGAGCACCCCATCGCCGCCCGGCCTTCACCGCCATCACGCCGCCTCAGCCCTACCTTGCGCCATACAGCTATGGCGCACCTCCAGGGTTCGGGTACAGGCAACCCAGCCCCTATGCTCTAGCACCGCAGCAGCAGGCGCCACAGCAGCCGTGGACTCCCATGCACGGGGGGTCATTTGACACGACGTCGCTCGCCAGCAACTTCAGCACCATGTCGCTGACTCCTTCGGGCCCTAGCGACTGGTACGTCGACTCTGGTGCCGGCGCTCATATGGTCAACAACGCTGGTATAATTTCATCCTCTCACCCTCCTTTGTCATCAAATCCTTCATCTATCATTGTTGGTAATGGGGCTACACTTCCTGTTACTTCCGTCGGATCTCACTCCTTTTCGACTTCGCAACGGCCTTTAATTCTTTCTAATGTTCTAGTTTCCCCTGGCATTATTAAGAACTTAATTTCCGTTCGTCGTTTCACCACTGATAATAACTGTTCCATTGAGTTTGATCCTTTCGGTCTCTCTGTGAAGGACCTTCAGACACGGAGCGTGATTGCCAGGTGCAATAGCATGGGTGATCTCTACTCGTTCTTCCCGCCCGCATCCACCAGCACCACCAGCGCCACCGCCCTCACTGTTGCAGCGTCCACCACCCTCTGGCATCGCCGCCTCGGTCACATCGGTCATGAGGCTTTGTCCAAGCTAATTACTGTAGGACACGCGGACGCCTAAGAGGGGGGGTGAATTAGGCAACTTAAAAATCTAACTCTAAGCTATGGCCTCTTTTTCTACCTCTAGCAAAACCTATGCAAAAGATAATCTATCTAGATGTGCAACTACGGTTTTGCTAGTGTGTTGCTATCTCTACCGCAAATGATAATAATATGATCAATGTAAATGCGGAAGCTTTAAAGAGCAAGGTAGAGATATGCAAACTCCCGTCGACGACTCCGGTATTTTTACCGAGGTATCGAGAAGCGCGCAAGCTTCCCCCTAGTCCTCGTTGGAGCCCCTCGCAAGGAATCCCTCGCAAGGGCCAAGCTCCCAGTCGGGTAACTCCATGGATAGCCTCGGGCCTTCCCCACGCGCAAGTGGGTCTCCGATGTGCCTTCCGGCAAGCCTCTCCCGGATGCTCCCCGCCGTCTTCACTATCAAGCTTTCGACCGAAACGCCGCGGGCCTTGTTCCCTTCGGTACACGGTGGCGGCCGCACCACAAACGCGGTTGGTGCGATCTCGCAAGACTTCAAGCCCCTCCGATGTACAACTCTTGTGCTCGCAAGCACGAGGTGGCAAGAGGTATGCAAACCTCACTAAACACTAGGCATACACCTAGAGCAAGCGCATAAGCGGTGGTCTAATCAACCTAAGCACTTCGCAAAGCACCTACGCTAATCACCTGATGAAACACTAAGCACTATGCAAGTGGAGATCACTAAAATGGTGTATCAACACCCTAGATATGTTTCCTCAGCTCCACTATTCTCAAATGGCCGGTTGGGGGTTGTATTTATAAGCCCCACTAAGAAAGTAGCCGTTGGGGTCGAACTCCCGCGAAACTGCTACTGACCGGACGCTAAATCGTCCTGACCGGACGCGTCCGGTCGTCCCGACCGTTGTAGCCACGAACTACCGATCGGACGCTGCCAGCGTCCGGTCGCAGTTTCGCGTGCCTGGAACCTCTCTGTACTCGATCGGACGCTGCGTTCCTGCGTCCGGTCGGTTGCCGCCAGCGTCCGGTCCTTGCGTCCGGTCGCCTGTCTGCCGAGCCACCGGTCCAGCGTCCGGTCGCGCTTCCAGCGTTCGGTCGCCTCTGTGAGCTCGTTTCTTTGCGATCTTGCGCACGGCTTGGTTTCTATCTTCATGCTTGGACTTTGCTTGATATCTTGGGTCTTTTCTTGTGCTTCTAAGGTCTTGCTTGAGGTGTTGATCATCGGATCATCACGTCGCCTTCGTCCAAGTCATGTCTTGCACCCTATTGGACTACAAAACAAACACTTGCAAATTCATTAGTCTAATTTGGTTGTGTTGGTCATCAAACACCAAAATCCAAAGTAAATGGGCCAAGGGTCCATTTTTCTTACAATCTCCCCCTTTTTGGTGATTGATGACAACACGACCAAAGCAAGCAAATGATAAAAAAAATTAAATTTAAAAATTATCTACTTGCTAGGATGCAATGCAAAGGGCAAGGTTATATGATACTAATTGATAAATACCAATTAAAACTTTACTTAAAAGCATGTCTTGCCCTTGCAAATGTCCCCATGTGATATTATGGATTAAAGCCTATCTTTCTAAAAAAAATTCTCCCATTACATAGACTAATCCATAATTCACTTTCCTCCCTTTCTCGGACCATTACCACTTGTAGACATCAACTTAATGCTTGCCTTTGGTCCTTCAAATTCTCCCCATTTGGCATCAAACACTAAAAAGGAAGACATTAGTAGCACAAGGGAGGGTCAAATTTCATGATCCTTTGTGTATAGAGTGAAATGGATCACAAAATTTGACTCTCACATTATATAGACTAAGCTCCCCCTAAATATATGCATACATATGGTAGAAAGCAAAGCATATGCATAATTAGCAATTTGTTGCACAAGAGAGTTTAATCTATATAATGCATGGAGAAAGCATATAAATATAAAATGAAATCAACATGATGATGCCAATTGAAGAATGATGCTTCTCTTCGGGGACTCCATTTTCCTTGCAATGAGACCACTACACACATGATAAACTTGAAAAAGGTGTTAGTCTCAAAGCGTCCATCTTGTAGATGATCCTCCCCCTAAATTTGTGCATGGAGACATGGAATACTTGTAGTACTCATGCACAATTGATTTTGGAGTCAAAATACCACTTGAAAGATGATATTTGGGAGAAAA